CACACACATTTCACACACATTTCACACACACACACACACACACACACACACACACAAATACACAAATAGCGCAGGTGCGAGGGCGCGTGCAAAGGGCAAAACAGGACCCTCAGAGCTAGAGTTTACATGAGGTCTGTGATTCTTGACTAGCACTGTTAACAAGAGCATTGGACGGTTGTCTTATTCAGAAATACTGGATCCATACCTATTACATGCCCTGAAACATGGATCAAATTACAATCAACCAAAACTTGAGTATAACACCATGGCAGACCAATGTATACTCGCCTTCCCTCCCCCAGATCTTGCTCCTGCTCCATCACACTCCTTCCTCTAAGCAAACCTCCCCTTCGTACAGCTCTCTACCACTCACTCCCTTTGCACCCCTGAGCATGTGTTGTGCACAGCAACGCTTCACCAGGAGGTCAGATGTATCTTCTGCAACTTGCCCACTCATTCAACATGTGAAAATGTTTGTGTTGAGATTGGTTGTGCAACAAAGTTGGTGAAACCAACGAGTTGATTTCATTCAACAAGCAAATTGAAGCGTGGGAAAACAACAAATCATTTTTTTGATGTATTCTACTATTCAATCCATAACTAGGCTACCAGCATCATTCCAGACACCGGTGTCCATAAACGAAATTGATACTCCGCCAGACATGAAACCAAGCATATCAACTCTGTCCAAAACTTGTGGCAATCACATTGGCACACGAGAGAGAACCTCCCTTGTCTCCCACACACTTGGTCGCCATTTGCCACAGTCCTCGACTCCAAGAGACAGATGATAGTGGAGGAAAAGAAAACCTCCATGACGTTCAGCTAGCCACAGGAGAGTGGGGAGTGTTCCGACGACTATTCTATGTTTGAGATAGTTGATCGCTACTTCGGAGAGATGCTGCTGGAGGACGAAGATCAACTCAAGGAGGCAGATGATAGTGGAGGACAAGAAAACCTGCATGACACTCGGCTAGCCACAGGAGAGGGGGGAGTGTTCTGACGGCTATTCTATGTTTGAGAAATTTGATCGCTACTTCGGAGAGATGCTGCTGGAGGACGAAGATCAACTCAAGCGTCAAGAACTGGTTGTGGAAAATGGGAGGTTCCTCCAATCTCTGTCGGACACGAAGAGACACGTGCAAACATTGTGGACCTCCAGGGCTGTTTTGGCGACGGCCGTCATGAGAAGTGGTTGATATCGGTGGTAGTGTGAGATAAGAACTGTTTTCCATTGAAAGTCTGAAGCACTAGGAGAAGTGAGGCTCCCTAATCAGGAAGACAAGCGGCAGAGATTACTTCAACTCTTTCACAAGAATTCGGTAACAGGATTTGTGGTGGTTTCTACATCCTTCCCACTATAGTACGACCGGGCAGAGCTACGCCATTCGTGGTAGCATGATATGCGAACTGTTAAACTGTTTTCCATTTGAAGTCTGAACTACTAGGAGAAGTGAGGCTCTCTAACTCAGAAAGGCAAGCTGCAGAGAGTACTTCAACTCTTTCGCAAGAGTTCAGCAACAGGATTTCTAGTGGTTTCTACATCCTTTTTTCCTGCTATAATACCACCGGGCACATCTAGCTAAGATAGAGAACATACATCTCAGAGAAGAAACAATCAATGCCTTCCTGTTTTGCAAAGTGTGGGCGCTAGGTATGTTCAAACGAAGAGTCTTCCGCCAAAACTCAGTGTTGCTGGACCTAATATTTGATTCCGCAGACTGGTCCAGGCAACCGGTCAATAGAGGTAGGGTTAAAAGTCCAGTACCCATGTCTGATTACTCTGTTAAAGGTTGGCTACAGACTTTTCCCAAAAAACACAGATCCTGAGCCCACAATACGCAAGCAATTGACGAAGGTCTTGGATATGATGACAGAGTCGGACAGACGGATGAGGAAAACCCCATGGAGTATATACACAACTCCACAAGGATGATGAAAACCAGAAGCCTGCAGTGGTTAACCACCTAAGCCGCCCTGCAAGTTAATCAATGGCTGCATATCAACAGGAAGGACTCCGATCTGAACAGCTCTGATAGCTGCTTCGTATGCTCACGCCAACAACAAGAATGCATAACTAACTGTCTGATCACATAGAAGGAAACAACAGAGCACTGGGCCAAAGCGAGCGACTTGTGCTCTCAGTTATTCCCCTTCCCCTTCCCTGAACATCCTCTACAACTCCGCCTGTGGACTAACAGTCGCTCCCAATCCGGTAAAGCCCGAAACGTTACGGTGTGGCTCGATCAAGCAAGTGACGCTGTGGGTGATCAGGAAAGAGAGATGCGACGTTACACTTGGTACAACGCAGAACGCAAGGCAACAAGTCTGGGATGCCACCAACGACCTCATCGAAAAAGCGCGTCCATCTAACGGGAGACAGACCAAGTCTCTTATCCAGCAGAGCCACGCGAGGAGAGGAGGAGGATCATTGCCAAATTCCAAAGTAACTGGTTGGCCCAGGACCAAGTAGCACCAACAAGCCCTAGCTCAGTTGGCACACCCACGACTTGTTGAAATACAGACCTAAGTTCAAATCCAGATGGAATCAGATGAATAGAATAAACTCATTCTGAATTAGCTGGGGCCGGTCACTTCAACGATGATATCTTAAAGCCGTCACGAAAAAAACAACAACAACGAAGTAGCAACAATCCAGGGCCAGCATCTTAGATGGAAAGATTGGCATAACTCAGAGGCACTGAAGGAATGCCCCCCCCCTCTCTTCCCAAACTCAAGATGATTGTGACACTAACGCTCAGCGGCCCGGGGAAAACAGGGTGACCCGGGCGGCCCGGCTGGTAGCCTAGCGCGACACCCCTTTTTTTTTTGCGCGCGCGCCGCATCGGGTGCGTTGTGCGAGCGCACCTCAATGCGCCGCAAGTATGCTATATGGGCTTGAAGGCATTGAGAAAGAAGTCTTGACCTTCAGAAGCTCTAGGTTACCAACTACTAACCATGTCAGTCTGACAATCTTGATGTCAGCAAGGCTCAGAGGAATCCGAAAAAGAAAAGGCTATCTTATCCGACAGTCAATCCTCCTGTACAAGGGGCAAGGCGCAATCAGTGCCGTTCACGGGTCCTTCAGCCGTAAACTGCCAGTACAACACCCAGGCAAACTTGAGAACCAAAAAAGGAGTCATTCCGAAAAGTTCGGCGACTTGGGGGCGCTGGACCAAAATGGCTGGTGCCGCCGGCCAAAGAAAAGGAAAAGCGCCGCACTGACGTTTCGGCCTTGACGCGCAGGGGGAATGCGCCTTGGCAAAAAGAGGATCGGACGTGCTGGTGGTTCAACAGAATGCAGCATGAGAGTGTCTCTCATGCATTTGCAACGACTCGCCAGTGGCAAAGGAAGCTTAACTGGAGCTGGGGGCAGCATGTGCTGCTCCCTACGGATAGTAGAAATAGACCACCGTGATTGGAACAGATTCAATGGAGATTGCATACCCAGCCCATGTTGCTGAATGGTAGACCCATATAACTGTTGATAAACAGACCTGAGTTCGCATCCTTATGGAATCAGATGTGGAAAATACCTCTGAACATGGCGAGATTGCATACCTCCCGAGGTGTGTGGCGAACAGTCCACTTCAGAAACTCTCCAAAACAATCGGCACAGAACTCCCTACAAAAGACGACACCAAATTCAAGTTGGCTAATGAGAAGTTAACCCATCTTCATGCCAAGGGATACCAACCTAACCTTGGAGGATTGCCTATAACAAGCTTCTCATCATTCGGCGACCTGGATTTCTAAATTCTGGTTAGGAGTTTTTTAGTCAGTTCCCCACAATGCTTGCACAACAGAGTCTACTTAAACCACCAGTACCCGATGAGAGATTCTTACCTGCATGCGTGGAGGCTGTGTCTGGAATTTGCCAGGCATGGAAATACAAACCGGCGGATTACGTTCCAACAGCGGAGGTTTACGCAGAGCATCCCTCTAAATGCAGAGGCCCGACCACGCATACGGAAACCCTGCTTTGCCTAGGGTACCGGACATATTGGTGGTATTATAATATACAGCACAGGGGGGAGGGAGGTGGAGGGGGGGATAAGGGGGACAAATGGAAGGAGGCCAAGGGGAAGGTGGAGCGAAGAGCAGGATATGAGGAGAGAGACGAGAATGAGGAAACAAGAGGGGACAGTGGCGAAGATACATAGCCACAGCGGTGACAGAACGTAAGAGGAGGAGACTACAGGCTAAGAAGCTGATGATGATGATGATGATGATGATGAGGAGGAGGAGGAGGAGGAAGAGGAGGAGGAGGAGGAGGAGGAGGAGGAGGAGGAGGAGAGGAGAGGATGGGGCAATGAGCAGGATATCCAGAGAGAGAGGGCGGCGGAGAAACCAGAAGACAACGATGGTGAAGATAGTTATTGGCTACGACCTGACAAGATGAGAAAGAAATGGATGGCGGTGGAAGCAGGTTGAAGAACATGTACCGTAATGAGCCATTCTCGGAGTCAACTAGCCCCTCAAGAATTGCATCAAGCAGTGCCATTGTGTCTGGATTCTCCTTGTCCACATTTCCAGTCATCCACCTGATGAGCTGCTTTGTGAACTCTTCAAAGAGCTGCCGTGTAACCTGCATTGGCCAGAATACCAACAGATATAAACCTCCATTGTCAAATACAAGTTATGCAACAACAAACCCTCTTCTGCTCCTCCCTGAGTGTCACAGCTAGGATTCCCCTCAGTACTGGAAGTGGAAGCGTGTCTATCCCTCTTTTTCTCCACCTATCTTCTAGAAAACCCTGTGCTCTCCTACTTTTCCATTTGTTGTGTCACGATAGCAAACGACCCCGGAATTGCTCGGAGGTAAGTGACCATAGAGTAGATATCTGAGATGGACAGGGATGAGATGATCGAGCAAATCAAAGAGGCTTCAAGGCTAAAGCATCGTGCAGTAGCATAGCTGGACGGTGGGTTGGAAAGAGAGACTCACGCCGTACTCACACTAGAACTTTCATGGATGTATCTGGCCACAAGTACAACCATTCCTGAAAGTAGCTGACAGCAAACATATGGCACCTGCGAAAGCAAAAGCCTGTACACGTGGTGAAATTGTGTTTTGGATCCAACTGCAGCTGCTCCAATTCAGCCGGGCCAGTGGACACACAGACACAGCCGCCTCAACACCATGATCTCATCCGCCTACGTTGACTCCTCCCGACTCGAACTCAAATTCATGGCCGCCTCTCTAGGTGCATCTACAATCAAGTTTCGGGCTCTCCTTGACATCGGAGCTACCAGTAACCTCATCACCGACGCTTGTGCCCGCAAAGCCGGTCTCCCTTCCACCGGTTATGAATACCCGATCACCATTCGACTAGAGGACAAGGACACAGCCATCGCAGTAAACCGCACCATTCTCGAGACTACCATGACTATCAGCTCTCTCCGCAGCCAGGTCTCATTCGATGTCATGCACTTGATGTGCGACATCGTCCTGGGAACCCCATGGCTTGACCGTTTCATGTCCTACGCATTCCATCCCACCTTCTTTCACATCAACACACCCCTGGCCCTACCCTCGACATTCCCAACTTTCCTCACCCTACCTCCCAACCTTCCGTCACCCCCTACCAGTTTCTCTACATTGCTCGTCAAAACCCCAACTCTCCCTACTACTGCCTTGTCCTTGATCATGAGCGTCCCGAGGACTTGCTTCCGACAGACAAACTCGACCACAGCTCTCTCCGCAGCCAGGTCTCATTCGATGTCACGCACTTGATTCCAACTCAAATTCGTCACCGCCTCTCTAGGTGCATCTACAATCAAGTTTCGGGCTCTCCTTGACATCGGAGTTACCGGTAACTTCATCACCGACGCCTATGCCCGCAAAGCCGGTCTCCCTTCCACCGGTTATGACTACCCGATCACCATTCGACTAGAGGACAAGGACACAACCATCGTAGTAGACCGCACCATTCCCAAGACCACCATGACTATCGGCTCTCTCCGCAGCCAGGTCTCATTCGATGTCATGCACTTGATGTGCGACATCGTCCTGGGAACCCCATGGCTCGAGCGTTTCATGCCCTACGCATTCCATCCCACCTTCTTTCGCATCAACACACCCCTGGCCCTACCCTCGACATTCCCTACTTTCCTCACCCTACCTCCCAACCTTCCGTCACCCCCAACCAGTTTCTCTACATGGCTCGTCAAAACCCCGACTCTACCTACTACTGCCTTGTCCTTGATCATGAGCGTCCCGAGGACTTGCTTCCGATGGACAAACTCGACCAAGCTCCCCCTTCTGACCCCTCTCTCACTTCCATCCTCGAGGAGTTCAAGGACGTCTTTCCCGAGTCCTTGCCCGCCGGACTACCTCCGGATCGTGGTGTCTCCCATACCATTGATCTAGAACCCGACCACACTCCTCCCTCTCGACCACCCTACCAGCTCTCTGTTCCCGAGGCCGAAGAAATGAAGCGACAACTCAATGAACTCCTTGAAAAAGGATTCATTAAGCCAAGCTCCTCCCCCTTCGGTACAAGTTGCCTCTTCGTCAAGAAAGGCGGAACCACCGAACTCCACATGTGCACAAACTACCGCGCCCTCAACCGGATCACAATCAAGAACAAGTACCCCTTGCCTCGCATCTTCGAGCTTCTTAATCGCCTCTGTGGAGCCAAGTACTTCACAAAGATCGACCTTCGAAGTGGCTTCCACCAGATCCGCATTCGCGAAGAGGATACTCATAAGACTGCCTTCCACTCTTGCTTTGGGCATTACGAGTGCCTTGTGATGCCTTTTGGCCTCACAAATGCCCCAATCAACTTCCAGCCTACTATGAATCACATCTTTCGCGACCTTCTCGAAGTCTATGTCATCGTCTATCTTGACGATATCCTAGTCTTCAGTCCCACCTTCGAGTCTCACCTTCCGCACATACACCAGGTCCTCTCTATCCTCAGAGCTCAAAAATTCTACGCCAAGCTTAGCAAATGCACTTTTGCTGCCTCAAGTGTAGAATACCTCGGCCACATTGTATCCACTGGTGGCATCCGCATGGACCCCTCGAAGGTCACCGCCCTTGTCGAGTTTCACCCACCTACGACCTTGCTGCAGCTTCGTTCCTTCCTCGGCCTTGCCAACTACTACCGCCCCTTCATCCGCGACTTCTCTGAAATCTCCTACCCCCTCCACGAGCTCACCCGCAAGAACGAGCCTTTTGCATGGAACGCATGCCGTCAAGCCGCCTTCGACCTCCTCAAACAAGACATTACCACAACCCCTGTCCTCAAGATTGCTGACCCCTCTCGACACTTCTATCTTACCATCGACGCCTCAGACTTTGCATTTGGAACCGCCCTCTCCCAACCCCGTGACATCCCGACCCCCCCCTCCATCAAGGATTCCCCCACCCACTTTGAGGCTCCACCCGACGAGTACCCTATCGCATTTGCGAGCAAGAAGCTCATCCCCGCGGAGATGAACTACCCCTCCAATGAGAAGGAACTCCTCACCGTCATCCATGCTCTCAAAGTTTGGCGCCAATACCTCGACGGTTAGTACTTCACTATATGTACCGACAACACCATCATCTCAAGCATACTCACCAAGAAAGCTATCACACCCCGGCAAGCCCGATGGTTACATTTTCTCGCCCATTTACATTCACCATCTGCCACACTCCCGACAAAAGCAACTGCGTCGCTGATGCCCTCTCTCGACGACCTGACCGCAAGCCCCCTGAGAAAGTCTACGCCGCCATGACTCATGTTCAGCTCCTATCTTCACTCCACCACCGCTATACTTACGAGTACTCTTCATGCCCCAATTTCTCTACCATCTACAACAAGCTTCGCGACTCGACACCGTCCCCGAGTACTCCCTCCGCGACAACCTCTTGTATATTAACACGAAGGCACTCGCTGACTTTGTATCCCTGACGCACGTGGTTTTCGTACCCAACTCTTGACCGGACACCACGATGCCAAGACCCCAGGACACCTTGGTTTCCAAAAGACATTTGACACCATCTCTCAAACTCTCGCTACTTCTACTGACCCTCACTCCTTGCCGACGTTAAAGCATACATCCAATCATGCCCCACTTGTCAAGCAGTCAACCCCTCAAACCAGGCCAAGCCTGGCAAGCTCCAGTCATTGCCTATTCCCACCCACAGGTGGCAGTCCGTCTCTATGGACTTCGTGTGCGGTCTCCCCAAAACCAACTGCGACTATGACTGCATCTACGTCATTGTCTGCCGCTTGACCAAGCCGGCTCATTTCATCCCTTGCACCACTTCTCACCATGCCAAAGACATCGCCACACTCTTCTTTGATCATGTCGCACGCCACCACAGCCTCCCCGAAAACATCATCAATGACCGTGATCCCCGATTCCTTTCCCAATTTTGGAAAAACCTGTTCAAAGCCTACGGCACCACTCTCAAGTATAGCACTGCATTCCATCCCCAAACCGATGACCAGACCGAAAAGATGAACAATACTCTCCAAAGGATCCTGCGAAAGTATTGACATCCACACCAGCACGACTGAAATCAGTTGCTCACCGCCGCCGAGATTGCCTACAACAACGTTGTCTGCCCTTCCACTAGCATGTCCCCCATACTACCTTGACCTTGGCTACCATTCCCGCTTGCCCTCAGACTTCTTGCTTCCCTCGCAGCTCAACCCATCCACTCCCCGTCCTTCTCTCAATGAATGGGTTGCAACAATAAACTGCCTCCTCAAAGAAGCCACTGATGCCCTTGAAAAAAAACAACAACAATAAGCCAACAAGACCAAAAAACACAGACGAGATATCACACTCCAGGTAGGGGACAAAGTCTGGCTCTCTGCCAAACACATTGAACCCGAATATGGCTTGTCCAAGAAACTCTCAAACAACTGGCTCGGTCCATTCCCCGTCATTGAACAAACATCCCCTGTAAATTACAAACTTCAACTACCCCCTGACATGAGCCGTGTTCACCTTGTCTTCCATGGCGAGTACTTAAAAAAAAGAATACCATGAATGACCTCCACAATTTGCCAACCCCCCATATCCTGGACCTCCACTAATCATGCTACCTACCGGGCCAGAATTCGTGGTAGAATCTATCATAGAACGAAGAACAACTCAAGTATCCGATCACCCGGAACCAATCACTGAATACAAAGTCAAATGGACCGGATACCCAGATGAAGAATCTACATGGGAACCCCTCGATAATCTGAAGAACGCCATGAAACTTGTTTGTGCCTATGATTGTGCTCACCCTGTATCCTAGCTATATACTACGCATAACACCCATATACCCTGCATAAACCCTGCCTCATTGATCTATACACACCCCCTGCACCCAGCAACCCTCCTGCCCCTCGACCTCTCTCTGTCTGGTCCATTCTTGCCTCCGTCTCGTTCCCCAATCTGTCCTCTGCCACATCCTGTGTCTCTCTTGTCCAAGCCTTACCTGTGGCTCCTGCGCATCACCCGCGATAAAGGATCTAATGGCAAGCGCACAAGGACAATGGCCTGCTGCAGCACAGTTCAAGGAGATTAGGCAACTGGTTGGCCACCATGCTGTCCCATTCGCCGGCAACTGGACTCGCAGACTTCTGGAGCAGCACTCTTGACATGGACATCAGGACCAGCCTGCGACCTGCTATCCGGATCAGACCATCATCAGGATCATGTACAGGACGCACCCTGGCAGTTGGACCTTCATCTATTGGACTGCTACACTACTTCTTTCAAGCTGGAACCCTCGCTACTATACGTCGCAAGCCTGCTGAAGACTGGTTTATCATCAGCATTCTTTACCTAGACTTACTTCAAGACCTGCTTCAAGACTCTCAGCCAGACCATTTTGCAGAACCTGCGATTTCCCCCCCAACCCCATTCACTTTGAGATGCCAAGAAACCCCAACCCCCGAACACTGCAAAATAATTTTCCATTCTTTATTTTTGCTCACAGAACCCTTTCACCCAATAGTTCATCAGTACGACAACCTTGTTCCCCCCTCAGATCATAACCCTGTAGTCCATCGGTAGGACAACTCTGTTCCCCTGCAGTTCCTAACCCTGTAGTGCATTAGTAGGCAAACTCTGTTCCCTCTCAGTAGTCCATCAGTAAGCATATCCCGTAGCTCATCAATAGGAAAACCCTGTTTCCCCCAGCCCTTGCTACCCACATTATACCCCTCTCTCTTTTTCTTCCTGCTTCCCAGTGATCGGCCCTCGCCCGTGCTTCACAGGATTCAGCATTATTTTCACGACTTTTGGCAGCCGGGACGTTGCCTTCTAGAGGGAGGGGATAGTGTTACGGACTCCGCCAGGGCTCGATCCCTGGTCTGCGGATTACCACCCGCCAGCTTGCTGTATTTTTTATTTTTTTTTTGTGATTTTCTTGTTTTGTTTGACTTTGTTTTTGCTTTTCCGATTTCGGACAGTTAGCGCCATCCGCATCCTGACGCCCGTTTTCAAATTCCTCCTTTTTCGACTTTCGGATTTCAGACACTTGGCGCCATCCGGCATTCTGGCGCCCACTCTCAGACTTTCGATTTTTGGTTCTGGACCTGAGGCATTTTCACTTTCGCCCTCAGGACCGTACTTGAGTCCAGTACTTAAGTATGGACTCTAGCACAGTACGGGCAGGAAATTTTCAGCCTCAGTGCTTGTGTTCAGTGCGACTTGGCTTCGACATTGTGTTCGGGAATTCAAGACTGCGACTTTGCGACTTTTGCCACTTCGTGTCTGCGTCCGTCGAGTCATGTCAAGTTTGCGTCGAGTTGAGTGAGTGTGTGTGCCCTCACTCTCCCTCTCTCTCCCAGCCTCGCTGCTCTGCCTCTGCCTCGTCACAGATTCCGCATCACCCACAACCGTCCAAGCCCAAATTGGGAAACATCTGAAACAAATACCCCTCCTATCCGTGAAAGCATGGGCCTGTGCAAGTGGTGAAATTGTGATTTGAATCCAACTGCAGCCTGCTCAAACATCTGAAACAAATACCCCCCTACCCACGAAAGCATGGGCCTGTGCAAGTGGTGAAATTGTGATTTGCATCCAACTGCAGCCTTCTCAAACATCTGAAACAAATACCCCCCTCCCCGCGAAAGCATGGGCCTGTGCAAGTGGTGAAATTGTGATTTGCAATCAACTGCAGTCTGCTCAAATAAGGCCCGCGCAACAGGCGAATTCAGCAGCATCCGCAACAGGCCAGCCCAAATCGGGAAACACCTGAAAGGCGAAACATAAACCCCCCTTTAAAAACTATACAGTCACTGCAGTGTATACGGAAATGAGCAGACGGCGCCATTCCTCTGCTACGGTAAAAAGATGTAAGGGATACTGACTGCTGAAGAGCGTTTTCGGTGCCACCACCACTTGATGGAAATGCTGAGCCGAAAAAGGATTACATCGAAAAAAGAAAGCGGCAGCAGGATTGAAAACGAATGGACTCACAAGATCAACGTCTGTTGCAAGACGCAAAATTGCTGGGAATAGCTTCGCATAGATCCGATGAAAAACGTACACCTGTGGACAAACATACCAGTCAAATCAATCAGCAAATTGAGAAAAGGATAGCCATAAGGCTGCTACTTGTGAAAGTTTTTTTGCTGGAAGTAAGCCTGCTATTAGACCTGGAAGGCTGTTCACTGCCCTCAGTGTCCCATAAGCACTTCGTGAATGCTCTGCAGTGCATGCAGTACTATGCACCATGTGGTGTTTTTAACTTTTTACCCCCAATTTCCCCAAATTAATTTGACATTCTGACAGCAGTTGAAACATTTTCATTGCTTTTTCGCGAGAGCCTTTTTTTCTCAAAACGACGGGCAGGAGAAGAATAAGCAGGAAACTACGAGAAGAAAAAGAAAAAGAAAAACATAACGCTTTGGGATTGCTCAGTTGGTTACACCCACAAACTGTTGAAATGCAGACCTGAGTTCGAATTCTAGTGGAATCAGGGTGTACTCACAATGGAAACTGGCTCCTCAGCACGGTCCTCTGGACGACTTTCCTCTTCCTGTTACCTTCTTTCCCCGAACACATCATACCCTCAATACGCCCGTATCGCACCCTCAATACGCCCGCATCGCACCCTCAATACGTCCGTATCGCACCCTCAATACGTCCGTATCGCACCCTCAATATGTCCATATCGCACCATCAATATGTCCATAACCGATGAGACTTAAATCTCCTCAGCACGGTCCTCTGGGCGACTTTCCTCTTCCTGTTGCCTTCTTTCTCTGAACACCTCGTACCCTCAATACGTCTGTATCACACCCTCAATATGTCCGTATCGGATGAGACTTAAAGCTTGTATACATTCACCATTAGGGCATGATGTGTCGAGGAGAAGACAGTAGTGCTGTTGAGGAGGACAGAACTCACATCCTCTCCTCCTCAATACTCCACCAATCCCTTCTTCTCTGACTGGTTATCATCCTCAGCTGAATCTTCATGATGTCATTCTCCTCATACTACTACTCCTGTTCTCCCCTCCACTAGCTTTCTTTATACTCCCTCCCTTCCCCCTCCCCCCTTTGTTTCCTTTCTACTTTGCACAACCCTCCGGAAGTCCCACCCCAGCATGCTGACTTTCATGTCACACCCCACCTCTGTGCATTCTGACTCATTGCGCAACCTCTGTAGGTGGATGACACACAACCCTCTACATTCAGCCCACAGCTTGCTGGTTCGAGTACAGTGAAGAGCTGGGACCACACTGCCGACTGCAAGAATAGATGGGGCATGTGGGCGTGTTCGTCACTTCCTGTGTAAATTAAAAGAAAAAGAAGAAGGAAAAGAAATGCTGGTAGTAAGCATTACACAGTCTGCTAGTACCACGTATCACATAGTCCTCAGGTACCAAGTATTACATAGTTCGCTGGTACTAAGTATTACACAGTCTGCTAGTACCAAGTATCACATAGTCCTCAGGTACTAAGTATTACATAGTTCGCTGGTACTAAGTATGACACAGTCCGCTGGTACTAAGTATTACATAGTTCGCCGGTACTAAGTATTACATAGTCTTTTGGAGCATCACAGCCGTTGAAATTGGAACGATACAGATATGGAGAAGATTAGCATGATCCCTGCACAAGGACGACATGCAGAAACTCCAGAAATGGTCCAGTTTTTCTACAGAAAAAAGAGAAAAACGCATGTCACGTACCTGTTTTGATTCCTCTGATGATCTGCGAACAGGACCTTTTGCAGCAGTTCCCAGCATGAGCAAACATATGGCATGCAAGAGCTCACAAGCTGCAACTTTGATCTGCCGCTCACTTGCGGACTCCGCTAACTCCACAACACGTGGAAGAATTCCGTCTGTCAAACACAACAGCAACTGACTCAAGAGTCAAGAGTCGAAAGAAGTTCAAAGAACCAGAAGTTTAAAAGATAACAGGCACCACTGCCTATGGTGCTTACAACAAAAGGCTGACGACAATGGAAATATGCAATACCCATAACCAAAATACAGAGGCCGGGGGGGGAACATAAAAGTTGATAAAAGTTCATAAAACCATTAAAAGAAAAAAATGACCCTACTGGATACTTGCCAACTTTTGCAAGGACCGATTGCAGAACGCCAAGGCCCAAACAGGATGGGGGTCCAGATTGCAAATTTGCACACCGGCTTGACCCATAACACAAAAATTTCGGCCTTTCTACCCACATCTTTCGGGGGCATTTTGGCATACATCTCAACTTGTGGGAAGTTATGGGGGTATTTTCCCTTGAAAGATCTCCATCCTTGACTTACTGAGAAATTTTAGCACACGACAGGACTTTCCAGTGCAGCTTTGCTTGTAAAGCAAAAGGAGAGTATGCACTCTGTATTAGGAGTCTGTAATATTCATTGTGAATCACAGAAATGAGTCAAATGACAGGTGTTGAAGTGCAGGAACTGAAGTATACTTTAGTAAACATAGTAAAAATACTAAAATACTTATCAATGTTATCATTATGGACCTGATCCGAATCATATTCAACAACGAATGATTAAGAGATCTCCTCTGCGTGGAAAACGAAGGACTGCGCAGTGCGTTCTGCATTCCAAGTTCATTTCCATAAGCTGCAAACTTGTGTACTTTCACAAAGCCTGCAGCTCTGGTAGCCATGAAAGGCCATGGAAGCTTCATGGAAGCTTCAATAGGTTCCAGGCTTCCAAGCCATTGAAGCTCGAATAGCTGTGCTGGCCTTTCTTGGCATGCACTGGCGACGGATGTATCACAGACTGCCAACATGATCCCCAAGTATCAGCCCATTTCAGCCCCGACAGGTGCGGTTTGGAGTTGAATCCCTTCTAGAGCAGCTGTAAATGCAGAGCAAGAAAGAATGGTCTGAACCTTGGAGATGGCTACCCGTAGGAAGGAGATTGCATGGAGAGGGAGGAAGTTTAAAGAGTCACCAAGTCGGCGTAGGGAAGGGGAACGAGGTTCAGAAAGGAGATGTCTGTTACAGCTTGCGGGAATTGACAAGTGCTGTGACTCTGAGACTGAGAGACTGGGTTAGGTCGATGTCCGGCCCAGACGGACCGGGCCAGACGGACAGGGGGGGGTCCGTCCGGCAAAACCAGACGAGCCAAAAAACATCCCAGGAATTTTTTTTTTTTTTTTTTTTGGAGA